ACACTTTATAAAAGAGAAACTGGACAGCAAGTTGATTTGCACTCCCTATGTATCTACAAAAAGACAACTGGCCGATGTACTTAATAAAGGGCTCAATAGTACAGACTTTCGGAGAATTATAGCCAAGCTAGGACTGGAGGATCTCTATTCACCAGCTCGAGGGGGAGTGTTGGAAAACGTGGGGTTACTGGTAAAATAGAATTGTATATATTCCTAGGATTGTGGAAGGATTGATTTAGAAAGTTTTTCTTTCTATTTCTTTCTTTCTATTTTTGTACTTTCTATTTTCTCTTCTTTCTATTTTTTCTTCTTTCTATTTTCTTTTCTTTCTTTTTTCTTTCTTTCTATTTATTGCAGCAGCTTACTGTATAAATATGCCAATTGGCAATAGAATGAAACATATCAGTATTCTACCATTCCAAAACAGTAACCCTAGGATGACTAGGTACATTCTACCCTATGGACAGAGTGGGACCACAGCTGTGGGGCCCACATCAGTGTTCTCTACAGTCAGCTCAGAAGAACAACTTGCAGATATCTTCACCAAAGGTCTTCATCATGTGCGGCACAAAGATTTGTGTGACAAGTTGGGCATGATTGACATATATGCTCCAACTCGAGGGGGAGTGTTGAAATAATTTAGTTGTTAGTGTTAGGGTCTGTTTGGTTAGTTAAAGCGTTTTTATTTCTATTTTTTTTTACTTCTGTTATGTCTGTTATTGTACTCACTTATAGCAGGGGCACAAGGGTCTTTTCCCTTCTTATTTCTGCCGCCATATATATATTATAATAAAAGCTGGCGCCGCCAGCACTGTTAAATTGCCAATCCCTTCTCTTCTCTTCTCTTCTCCCTTCTCTCTTCTTCTTCTCTTTTCTTCTCTTCCTCTTATTTCTGGCCGGCCACACTGTCAAGAGAAACTATGAAAAAATACTGGAATAGTTAAACTGGTTGGATGGTTCACAGTTCAACTGTTGGTTTGACATAAGTCAATGGGTTTTAAATATATTTCTGGTCGTTCATATTTCTGACCTGGAAAGGTCCTGATTCATGTCTAACCTGGTTCAATCAGACAAGCCAATATGAGTTTCAAAGCTTTGGTTCACCGGTTGCCAAAATGAATTTAATCTAGGTTTCATTGTTTCCTGTTCTCACTTATCCTGCCCTCTATATCAATTAGAATGCTTTCCTTACTGATTGTATGTTTGAAGTAGCAGTGAACTAGTGCTGATTTCTCTGTTGGGAGGGGATGATATATTGCCAATTGAAAAAGAAGGCAAATCGCAGAGTTCAGGTCAGACCGAAGTCCAACGATGTTACTTTCAAGACATCGGATTAGTTTACAAAGAAATTAAAATAGATGTAGTTACAAATCTGCTAGTAGTTTGTTCATGCTATCAGAAAGTTTATGGTTCAATCTGGTTTTTTATCTATGTCCTAATTCTAAGTTGGATTGAGCCATAGAGGGGGGCCTATTCATAGATCAGCATATCCAGTTAAAACTTCAGAAGGTCTGACCAACTAGTCTACTCCAAGTTTTAAGATATTGCTTTGTACTTACTGCATACATTTATACCTGAAGACAATATATTGTTCTACTGGTTTCCTTTTCCTACCCTCAGTACTGTTAAACTGATAGCTGAAGTGTTGTAGATTGTACATGAGGGAAGTTATTACATGCTGTTATGCTCACAAAAATAAAATACTGAATATCGTGATATTGTTCTTTGAGGGTCTTCCTGGATTGTTCTTTCTATTTAATGTCTCAATACATTATTGGCTTAGTTTTTGTGTTTCTATACAGGTGGCATTCCATTGCTGATATTTTCAGAATGGTGGTTGGCAAAGGAAAAGTTTTCCAAAATTGATTCGTTTATTTTATCTTCATTTCCTGGAGCAACATTGCATGGGTGCAACGGGCTGAGTATTAAATATCAGGTAAAAATGATGCAACTGTATATGGTTATGTTTTGAGGTGATTGTTTTAAATGTTCCATTATTACATCCAACATCTTCATGACAAACCTAGGGGCAATTGCTTGGTGTAATAGTAAAATCTCAGGCCAACTAGCATGACAACATTTGTTCAAGCTTGTCCATGCAATATCCAGTGTCATTGGATACATATCTTGTCTGATAGCGGTTCGCTAGGCATGTACAGATTTCTCTGGTTATCATAGGTGACAGCTAACTTTTTGTAACTTTTAATGTACAACATCATCATACTTTGGCTTAGATTTCATTTTCTTGATCAGGAATATACTGAATAGAAACAAATCTTTTTATAGGATATCTATAAGATAGAGGATGTTTATTTATAGGGCTCATTGCTTGGTGCAATGGTAAAATTGCAGACTGAGATGCGTGACAACATGGGTTCAAGTCTGAAAGCGGCCGCTTGGTGCAAAAATGCCTGTGGTTCCATATCCAGTAGCCTTCCCTTTTGAGGGGTTCCGATTTTGAACAAAACTACTTTAAACTCTAATTTATACACGAATAAATGTTGCATAACCAAGGGGCATTACCCAATGTTGGTTGCGACTATCTAAGGTCTTGGGTGGGCCGTGCCTGCCTAGCCTGGAACCCCTCAAAAGGGAAACCTAGCATGGCCCGCAGCACAAGCCCAGGTGGATCATGCTGGGTCGGGTCGGGCCATGGGCAGTTTTTTAGAAATTTTTAAAAAGAAATAATGAAAATGTTAAAATAAGTAACAAGATAAACAAGAAATTGAAAAAAAAAATATTCCTTATGAATTTTGATGTATACAATTGTTTATACATGAAATAATAAAATAAAATTGAAAAAAATACAATAAAATTGGAATAAAATAGTATAATAAAATTGAAAATAAAAATTTATATATATATATAGAGAGAGAGAGAGAGAGAGATATCTGTGTGTGTGTATGGGCCATGCCTGCCGTGGGTGGCCCGGCCCACTTTACAGCTCTAACTGTATAGTTCTGTATAGTTGACCTCGTGATCTCTTGAATGAGTGACCTTTCTAGGTCCCAATTAAATGATGGTTTTCATGGTTTGAATGGGTTAACAGCCACTTAATTAATAAAACCCATGATCCAGTAAGAATTCCAGTTTTTTATCTGTTCTGAGACTGACAACATTGGTTTACAGTGCCAGACAAGTTTATTTTTTTAATCAGTATAAAGTGTCAGATAAGTTCAGGAACATAATATGATATATCTTGTATTTAGTCTTTTATATTTTTGTTGTATAACGAGTGCTACTAGTGATGTTTATTTATCGTTTCTGCAGTTCTGTCCAAATCGTAGACATGTTACTAATGTTTTCATGGTTTCTATTTATCTATAACATTTTTATGAACTATTGGTAAATGTGCACGTGTGTTGCACTGGTAATTTCAGATAATATTAATAATTCCAATATCCTTATTAGAAGCATTTAAAAAGGATAAGTAATAAAAGCATGGGTGTGCTGGTCTATTTAGATTTTATATTTCATTTTCATTGTTAATAAAGATACTTCTTATTTATCATATTTATTTTTGTTTAGTATGATAAAATTTAGTGTTCTCTATATTTTTACTGACAAAATTTAGTGTTCTCTATATTTTTTATTTCTATCTATTTTTTGAGTTTTTATTATATAATTATGACAAAATTTGACATAAAATGTATGTGTATAATTGTATATACATGCATGTATGCAAATATGTGCTATATATGTATTTATGATTTTATGTATATAATCAGGTTTGATTTTAGCTACCTAAGGGATAGGTTTGGGCCCAACCCAAAAAATAAAAGAGCACAAACTTTTGAACCTAGGCTTAGGCCCAAGTCAAGTAGCCTGTCTAAAATTACGAGCTAGGTCGATTCAAGCTTGTGTTAACTCCACCTAATTTGCCTCCCTATGAATCATTGACCATTAATTAGATGTAAAAACAGTTTTCTTTTTTGTTTAATATGATGAATACATAATATTAAAGATGCATCCAAATGTTTCTCTCTTTTTTACAAAATTTCTATGTTTTTAATAAATTTTGTGTATATCTTTTTTTAATTTTTATTATTTATTTATGACATCACGGGTTGATCCATTTGACCTAAAAAAGGTTGAATCATTGACCCACCACTTGAATAGGAAAATGGTTTCATTTTTGGGTTTGTTTTAGATCTTGTGTTTCATTTCCATCGAATAAAAATATTTTTATTTAGCATGCTTAATGTTGTTTGATACGATAAATATATTATATTAGAGATGTGCCCTAAATTTTTTTTCGTATTTTTTTATAATTTTTGTAATATTTATATTTATATTTGTTTTTAGAGTTTCATTATTTAACTATGAGAACATTGGTTGACCCCTTTGATGTCGATGGTTGAACTATTTACTTGCCAATTAGACAAAAGGGTAGTTTTTTTAATTATTTTTCATGTTGGTTTTGAACATAGGTTTCACATTATTAAAAATATTAGATATAGATTTACTTTGCAGAATTTATTTGTGAGAAACAAAATTACTTCAAATAAAGTATATAAGGTGAGGGAATGAGAGTTAATACCCTAATGAGAGGAAATTTAATGAAGTGGAAAGTGATAGTACTTTAAATTACATTTTTTGCCTATATAATTAAAGAAATTAAATTCATAATTAGGGGTGGGTGTTTTAGTCAAGAAAAGTCCACAAAGCTCATTTATTTAATGTGCCTTAAATATAAGATTTAATGAAAGTAAATGAGACTTAATACCTTAAATATAAGATTTAATGAATTTAATAGAAGTATTAGTTCAAATTGGAGCCCAAGTTTATAGAGTTAGACTATTTTAGTCAAAACAATTCCATAATCTAGACCTCATTCACACTTTTAATATTAGTATAGATAAGCTTCTGCTAATTAATTATCATTTTCATGGGAATTTAGTGCCTAACTAGACGTTTGCTCTTGTTTAGAGGCATTTCTTGTAATCCTACTTTATAGTTTAATGAATTGCAAATTAAATGGCCTTTCTATTAAATATTGTGTACCTTTGGCTCAGTTTGGAAAGAGTACAAGTACAAATATGTAGAGTGCAAAACCTTGTATTTTGTATTATTTTGTATGTATTTGCATTGTACATATTTGTATTTGTACTTTTTCCAAAAAGAGCCTTAGTAACTTTAACTTTTTGCATTATATTCAATTATTTCATTTTATGAACTTATAATTAGAAAGAAATTCCTGCAGTAGTGTGTTACATTGAATCATATTGTGCCAGTTTATGGTGGTTAGTTGAGAAAAAACACAAATTTGCGTCTGCTTACTTCAATGTGGCTTTATTTGATCCAAAATGTTATTACAGTTGCCATATGGAGAGGATTCCTCGCTAGCTGATATTTTTGGACACCTGGAGCGAAACAGGTGCAATACATTAATTTCTTTGATATTCTTGCCATAATTTTTCTAGTTTTATCAGTTATCTCTTTACTTTTACCTAAACTCCATTTGATATCTTCAGGAGTAGACTCGGAGTGGCTGAATACAGCATTAGCCAATCAACACTTGAAACCATTTTTAACCATTTTGCCGCAAACCCATAATGTACAGTCGTTCACTTAAACAGAGAAAGGTGATGTCTAACCAGTTTGCAGCAAGTCAATGATGTACGATTAATCACCATTCACCACTGGCATCGTCTTATCGTCTGGGGAAATTATAGTCTTCACCTCAGTTTTTGTAAGTCATTTGTAAATGGTTGAATATGTTACAGTTCATATAAATCAAAAGCTCTTTGCACGTTAAAAGTAAATTTTTCCTTCTTGTGGCCTGATAAGCAAATCCTGTTAATGATGACTGAATTGCTTGAAAGGATATTTTGAGGTTGCTTTTGTATCGATGGCATTTATAAGATAAACGTTTTGTACGATTTTTTTATACTTCAGCGCCATTTAGACATCATTAGGCGTCATAAAAGCCAAACAGTGAAAATCGGTCTTGAAAATGAAAAACATCAAAATTGATGTTTTTTAAATAAATGGTTCACACGATTTTTGAGAGCCATTTATCAGATAAACGGCTCAATCAAATAGCTTTTTAGGTGTTTTTCTGTTAAACGCATTTCCAATGCTGAGCTGGCACCGTTTCTTCCAAAAGCTACATCAATACCAAACACCATCTTTATTGGATAGCTGACCCGTCAATCGGGCTTGAATTTCTTGGTGAGACTCAAGCAGAAACAGCATTTAAAAGCTGCAATTAAATCAATGTCACAGACTCGCATTATGGTTGAGATAGGTTCAGAACCCCTTTCTCAATGTCAGACTTGGGTCGCATACAAAATTGTTTTGGTTAAGTGGGTTATGGACCAAACAGTTTGAGCATCTGGTTTGATCCTTCAACGCGAGTAAATATGCAAAAATATTATCAAAAGGCGAAAGATTCCAGATTGTCTTTTAAAATTATTTCATATCAAAATATGGCTAAAATAATTAAGAATTGGGTTTTTTTTGTCAGTGGAGCGTGATTTGTTCTCTGTTGTATCCATGTTACTTGTTTCCACTCCTACTTTTTGTAATCATTCTTTTTGCGAGGGAAACTGAAACTCGCCCTCTTCCATTAACAAAAATTTTGCCTTTGAAAAAGAGACCACAACCTGCATGGTTTTGAAACCAGTTTCCCTGTATATACCAATATATGTTTAAGCATCAAAATCCAAGAATTCTGTTTTTTAAAGACAAAAACAGTATATTCATTTATCAAAAAAAAAGATAAAAACAGTATATTCTCCATTTCATTAAGATGCAATAGATGAAAAAGAGCTTTGAGTAGGATGAGATGCTACAAATAGGGAGTGTTCATGGACGATATCTACATAGGGGCTGTTTAGTTGCATTGTCGTTTATTTAATAAACGTTTTGTGCATCTCCCTTGAAAAAAACGAGAAGATGGTGAAAAACATTTTCTTAGTGTTTTTTAACAGTAAGGCACCATTTGGTGGAAAAAATGCTTGGGCATTGGAGGAAACATAAAAAAGATGTTTCGATAGCTTTAACACAACCCAATAAAAACATTTATTTATATTTTATTTTTTAAGCGTTCATCATTTTAAAGTTTTTGTTGTTAAAAAAAAAAAAAATTGTATTGGTGTATCCAAATGTATCACGATACATTGATTCCAATATGATAAGACAATTGTATCGATATTTTAATCTTGCAACAAATTAATGCAATGCATTGAATGAAGAACAACATGATTACATGAATGCATACTTCTATCAATAGTTCTTCAGCCCTAAATAGGCACAAACAAGTCAGTAAATCTTATAGAATTACTTCCGGCTTTTTTCCATATTTTCAAGTTCTTCTCTTCCTATTTAGAAGATGCAGAAAAGGAGGTGCTGTTTGGGAAGGACATCTCTAGTACATGTGTATCGAAAAGAACCAAAGGTGCCTGTTGTCTTCGTGAGGCTAAAGGAGGGCTCAGCGTTGTCACCGGTTGTTCGAAATCTCTAAGTGAAGAAAAACCTTTTGTTCCTGTTAAAAAAGAAGATACTGTCAAAAAGTTTAAGGCAGGGCATGATGGGTATTGATTTGTTAAATGTGTTTATAATAATCCTATCTTTCTTTTTTCCCCCTTTTTTCTATTGTGTGTGGTCTTTTTGGGGTGAGGGGTATTGATCTATTTGTGTTTATGACCCTGTTCCACAGGAAGTCATCCATCCTACTACTACAGAGTTCAAACTTCAGAGTTCTAACAGGATTTGGAAATTGAAATAAGTTAGTTTTGTAAGGCCCCATTATGATATTTCTGTTACAAGTAATACTTTTCTTTATTTGTGTGTGTGTGTGCACGCGTTAGTGCATGTGTATGTATGTGAGCCATGCCTTAATTTTGATTTATTGGCCTGCAAATTCATCCAACTTGCTTACTGGAAGTGCAATGTTAAACGGAGTAAAACTGAGCAATTTGGTTGGATTGTTCATTGGTATGAGCGATGCTAAGGATAGAGATTTGTGGTTTTTTTGGGTATGCCTTACAATTTACAAACACACCATCGTGACTTCTAGTTCAGACGCAACACTGGAATCATTTTATGCAACATGGGCTGAAATAATTCTATGCAATATGGATAAAATTTACTTACATACAAAAAGGAGATATGTAGCTACAATGACTCAGTAAACTTAACATCATTTATTCCCCTGGATGAAAGAGAGTATATGTTGGATCTGCCTCAGATTTGGTAACCTGCAATATAGATAATATATTTTTGTTACAAAATAAATTGAAGGGATTATCAAAGAGAAGTCCCACCAATTAAGCATGCATATTTACACCTTGAAGTAGCAGCATAGAACGACACTTCATGTATAAAGGAAACTATCATACTAAAACAATTGAAGATAATCCCCTCATCTCAACTGTCCACAGGGGTTTGTACTCTCCACCTAACATTAACTCTAGCCTTACATTGTCAAAGAGCCCTGTAACTTGGGTGTCTCATCATTTAATACCTTTCCCTGGCATCTTCAAATAAATAGAGATGGTTTTTATTACTTCCAAAACTTTTGTTCTTAAGATGAAGATAATTATTGTTGTTTTTCATCTTTCCAAGTAACCAAATTACCAAATTAAAGCAACAGCTAAATAGCTGAGATACTAACCTCTGTAGGGCGAGAAATTCCAGTTGGTAAGATGGGAACAAGTGATGTCCAAAGAATGGGGTCTGCTATAGGCTCAACGGCATTGTAGTTGGTAAGAATTGGTGCAGAAAGGAAAGGAGTCAATGGGTACAAATTTCTATGAAGTGGCAACCCACTCATGCCTAATGTGATTGCTGTCCTGTCACTCCCACCCTCACCACTTGTCGGTTTCTCTATTGCCTTTCCATAATCCATTTTCCTGTTGTTGATGTTGTTCTCATTTTCATCATTGTCATTGTTGTCCTTCCTTTTTGATGCTTTCTCTTGCAAACTCTTATAGGCAGCAGAGCGTGACAAGATGCTCAATGCTGATACTGGAGACCCTTTATGCTTTTTGCCTTCACAGGATAGGCCCAGAAGAGGCAATTGGTATGGCTCAGTAGGTTTGATGGTCCATTCTAATGTTTTAAGCTCATTGCCAATATCTTCTGAACCACCATGTCTTGTTTCTTCTAAAGATTTAGAGAGAGATTCTGGACGACGGATTTTATTGGGGCCCCACCACTTGATGCAATTTGTCAGATCAATTTTTCTCTCAATGCAAAAACCACCTGCGTATTCACTCTCTGTTGTTGCATCTTCACCTGTACCTTTTTACAAGAAAGAGATCAACTGATAAGTAAACAATTTAGAAGGTGAAAAAAGGCAGCATATAATGTTCAAAGGCTAGATCTCCCAAATTTATTGCCTAAAGATAGTGTCAACAAAGACCACACATATGTAGGGATTCGCCAACAACTGAAATATTTTATTTCATTAATAAATCTTGGCTGTTTGGGTAAAAGCAAATAAGAGACATGAATTTGGGTAATTAAGAGATATGAACCTTGATTTAACATAGTTGAGCACTTACCATAGTGTATGCTGTTAAGATAATCAGGCCCAACCATACGGCCAAAGGATGACTCCCATTGACTACTTTGTGGTGGCCTAAAATAAAGGAAAATGTAGTAAACATGATGTTGTAAAAATAGTATGTTACATATTTTCAGGTATCCATGATCTAAAAAGACAAAATCATCAACACCAGAAAAAAAAATACCATGTATTATTATCAAGTAAACTTTTTCTTCCATTTTCCTTTCTGATGATAATTTACTTGTTTTGATGACCAAGTATATTTGGCATTATCAAGCATGCCAACAGATAAAACTAATTTCCTGGTAAACATTTTATAAAATAGATTCATATTTTTTTATCAGCCTAAAATAAATTCGTATTTGCACCAAAAGGAAGTAATTATTCAATGAATAACAGGTAATTATTGCAGTGGAAACATGTAATGAGAAATAGCTTCCAAAAGTTTTCATTAATGGTAATACTATAACTTGATAGTGTTCCATGAATGTGAGGCAATGAACTTCCAGGATCCACATGCTCCAAGGAGTTCCATCTATCCATATATTTCCATACATACAAATGCCCTCTTATCTCTTTTTGGCAAGCCACCTATATATACAAAAATTCATGGATGAAAACATACCTAGAGAGTCCACGATATTTAGAGATTCCTCTTGAGAAACCACTACTTTTCCTGCAAACAGTGATCATCTAATATCAGCAATGACAGATCCAATTGAGTATCTAAGATGCAATATATTGGCAAACCTTCTGAGGGATGCAAGATATTCTTCTCTTGAAACATGCTGCATCTCATCAAGATCTCTTGAATAATCAGTAACCTGCATCATAGAGTTACAAAATACATGTAATTTACATACTGAGAAATCATTGACAAGCCAACATGTAATAATAATAATAATAATAATAATAATAATAATAATAATAATAATATTTTTGAAATTGGTAAGGTAGAAAATTGTTAAAAGATGCATACAAAAAGAAAACCAATAATAAATGTTGATCAAAAAATACCAAAATTCAGTTGTCAAAAGGAAGTCTATGGTCAGAACCTCATAATTAGAAAGTAAAACTAAATTTAATATCCTGAGACTTTAAAATGTAATCAATGAGTTAATAAGAACTGAGGAACATATAACAGAAGATAAAGTGTACCATTGTAATTAGTAAAGAGAATGTACTATAGGCTGCCTCAACAGTCTGCATTTTGTACTTGGAATGCAAGCAGTTGGATGAAAGGGGTCAAACTGTTCAGCCACCTTACCCTCTCCTCATATGACAAGTGTGACCCCAGCATCCATCTGCCAATTTGCCTTTCAGGGGTCTCAGACCATGAGATCTCAAATCAGGCCTAGACCACCCTAGCCCTCAACCACAACTTACAGGCCAATTGACCCATAACTCATCCAAAAATGAATGACCTAGAAGTTTTCACCACTCCTCAACACTTCTTGACCTAATTCAACATGGAAGGAAGCCAGCACATGTAGCCTTTGACTGCACTGTGGCATGGAGTTTTTGCTATCTGGGCAACTTGATAATGTCCCTGAAAAGTCCAACAACTAGGGAGGATAATGCCAAGACTACCCCTACTACAATGTATAGACTGGCCAATATAGGGAATACCAAGGATTGTTGAGATATCAAGCCAAGGAATGTACCTATATGACACCACCTGATTCTGCTTAATTTCTTCTTTATAGGAACAGTGTGAAGCTTACAACCTCAACCTCCCACGAGAAGGAGAGATCTCTCATAGTTGTCGAATCATGCTGAAACATTAGGCTAATGCCAATGAAGCATCTAGGACCAAAATGTCCTTGCCTTTGTCACTATATAAGGTATCCTGCTTGTCTGGCCACACATAGGAAACCAGTCTATGTAAAAGATCCCAAATAGGTGGCAAAGACATGAAATCCAACATTTCAACTACCATCCATTTGGTCATCAAGCCCACAAATAGGAGCAAGGCCACATGTATAGGAAAGATCAACCAATACCATGACCTAGGTCCTCTACTATAAGCATTGCAACTTAGGCAAAGGACCATAAGTAGATTGGCACCAGTAAAGATCCATTGCTTTCACTTGGAGGAAATGGCTTCCCAAACATGGCAAAAGGGAATTCTTTTTCTCCTTGTTCTCAGAAGATCTGGGTATTGAACTTCTATTTGTAGGGAAAGAGAAACCAACAGGTTTAGGGGTTTCAACATGGACACCATCTGCATAACCAATCTAGACTCCTCTTCCAGATGGATAGTCCAGATTTGCCACATCATCTATCTATATACAAGAGCACTTTGTCCTTGAAAATGATCAGACTCCATTGAGACACCTCTAGAAAAAAATTTGATTTGGAAAACTGGAAAACGAAGGCAATATTGCATTAGGCTTACTGGAAAATTAATTAGTGTCCCAGGACCCCAATATTTTAGAGCAGCCAGATCATATGCTCTAGCAGCAGCCTCTTCTTCATCATATGCACCTATAACACATAGGCAGAAGATAAAAAGGGCTCAAACCAAATAATACAAGTTGAGTTCAATTAGATTCAAGATAAATAAGTTTCATAGTTCACCAACTTACCCAAGTAAACTGGCAAATGATCATCCATCCACCATTTGCCACACAAGTTATAAACCAGTGTCAGATATTTCAGTAGTAGTTGTTCCCTGTAACAAATAATTATGCGTAGAGAAGGGTGAAAACCAGAAAAATGCACATGTACCTTGTTTTCCCTTCTTATTCTGGTTCTGATTCCAAGTGCTTTTATCCCAAAGGTGAGCTTCATATCGCCCAGTCCATCTATGCCTGCCATTTTGCACAGCTAGAATCATCAATCAGTGGACATGCAAAAGGAAATACTAAATGAGAAAACCTAGTAAACGAAGATGATAGAAGTTGTATAGATAAAACACAGTTCCACAAAGCCTCATAGGTTTAAAAGGAACTTAGATCAAAAAACACAGTTGTATAGATAAAACACAGTTCCACAAAGCTTCATATCGCCAAGTGTTTTGTTGCCTAGGCACCAAAGCAGATAAAAAACAATGAACCTAGGCCAACAGGCACACAGAGAACCTGGCATATAAGTTAAACTTCTAAGCACAACATAGTAAAAAGTTTTCCCTACCGCATGGTATATACTATGATATTACATACTATATATTTTGTTAGAATCATCCACCAACAATGGTATATCATTACATAAGCCACATAGAAAACTTATTAGAGAAGAAATTTGATAAAAACTATGGCATATCTCCTGTAAGTAAGAAAATTAAATAGGAGAGTTTAGATGTTTTAGGTGTTTTTTCTCGTGGGAGGTTGGGACCTCCTCTTTTTGTGTTGGTGTTTTTTCTTTCTTAAAGTTTTGTTTTTTTTTTTTTTTCCTGAATGGAGGTCCAGGGGAGAAAAAGCACACAAGTGATGAACCAAAATTACATAAATCAAGGATAATGAAAAAGACTTTGAAGGAGCAAAGATGAGCAGAAAATATAGCCCCAAATAGAACATAGTGATGAAAATGATTCACAGATTCACATGGATAATCACATATAGTTTGTATAATTGATGGAAGATGATGATCTAAAGCATATGTATTTCATGTTTACACACATTTATTTATGCAATCTGCATGCATATAGAAAAGACCTCAACCACCAACTTCTGACCGTGTGAGCACTTAAGTAACAAGCTAGTTCTATGACTTCATTCATCCTTCCTCAACCTTGTTAAATCTAATGCAATAATTTTCCTAAGGATGAGAAAAGGTGGCAATTCTAACAGATTGGCAACAGGTAACTAAATAGAGAAACAAAGTATAGGAGAAACTAACCAAGTAATAAATAGGACCACAATTAGCAACATTGCAACATGATAACCAATAAAAAGCAAAATCTAGAACTAACAAAATGAACTAAACAAAATCTAGAAGTAACAGAACTAAAAACTAATTTTAGACTAGTAGGAATGAACAAAAGCACATGTGGTCCAAAAGTTATCACTAGAGCACAAGCTGCAAAGAAAAAGAGTATAACTTAGACGAGAAATAAAGAAGATTCCATCAAAGTTGGTTACTACTTTTCCAAACTAAAGGCAGCAAAGATTTTTATCAGATTTAGATCAAGTCATGAATAAGAACAAAACATTTTCGTATTATTCACTTGTATTATTTCTTTACAGTTTTGTGGCTGTTAAGATCCAAAGTAATTCTAACATTCACTCCACAGCATAGTAACTTATTTCTATCAGTACACCTGATGCCTTCAATCTTCTTGAATTCCAATAAAAGTAGTAACAGACTCCATAACTTCAGTTCACTGAAACTGTTCTGGGCTCTGCACATTATTTCCTGTCACTCCTGAAAATCCCAAACAATGTATTCCCCGATTCCTGAATCAAAACATTTTCAACCTATCAAAAAAAGATAAAATTTTTAAAACACTCAGAAAATCTTGATCTTGTAACTATAATAGAATGGGTTCCTTTTATGCCATATAGTATTATAATGTAATTAACAAACCGGAACATTTGAGTTATGACAATGAACAAACCCGAAGTATTTCAAAAACACACAGGAATTCTTGATCTATGTAAAAAAAAAAAAAACTATGGAAGAATGTTCCTTCTCTTCTCATGCGATATTCGTCAGTCTCCCACACCGTTACTTTCTTCCTAATTCAACGTGAAGTTAGAATGAAGACAAAACAACCATGACTTTAGGAACTTTAATTCAGAATCACTATCAAATCTTACACATAAAAAAAAAAATCTAAAATTACAATGAAAAATGCTACACACACAACCTTATCCACTTTCAAGCATCCACTTATTATGCCCAGAACCGAATTATCGATGGAATCTCGACCTTAGAATTCTTAACCAAATATACAGTTCAAAAGTTAACAAGTTCAATAAATAATGATCTAATTACATTTATCTACATCCAAAAATTCCTTTCTCCATCCATTGATTTACCTGGTTACTCCTCTGTACTTTGAGCTCCTCTTTCCGGCAGCACAAGGCGGCATTTTGCTGATCCTCTCCTTGGCCGTACAAGGCCGCTCCTTCTTAGCTTTCTTCAATCCCCTATAGAGCAGAAGCTGATCGTTCGCCATTACAGCCTCGGAAGTTTCTCCACCACCCCCTCCCCCTCCCTCAGCCTTCAATCCAGGCTCGGAAGAAGAAGAAGCCATGATCCAAACGAAACCCTAACTCCAATTCTCGAAACTAAACAACCCTCTTAAAACAAAGCGATCCAAAGAGAGAGAGAGAGAGAGAGAGAGACGAATCATAACAAGCACAGTTGAAAAAATGGCAGTTAAGTAACACTCGAAAGCTTACTCTTCTTTATTCAAATTTCCTTCGTTCCTCGCTCCAGAGTGCGGAGGCAGGCAGGAAGAACAATGGCAGCACGGATTTCTTGTGTCAAATTACTAAAACAGCCATCCTAGTTAAATCTAAATTGTTCTCTGTAAGTACAGCTGAAGCCTGAAATATTTTGTCCCCCTTTTAGGACTCATTTCACGTAATAATTATTGAGGGTGTTCCCGTAATTTCGAGAAAATTCTCTACTAATAACCACCGGCTCCTAACGGCTATCTATGATGACTAATGACCACGTGGCCACCTTGTCAGGCTGGCCACCTGTCAAGCATCTTTGTCAGTCTTGATTATTCCCTTTTACTTGCTAAGAAGTGAGAACTAACATGCACAAACTGCGAGGAGAGATCTCTGAATAGTACTGGGCTGGGCTAGGCTCCGGAGGTCTTCTTTTGAGAAGCATTGATGTTATTGGGCCTTGCCACCCAGTCATTGTGCAACACTATTGGGCCTTTTCTGTTGGATGCTTTTAGCACATAAAAAACCTGGATCATTTCTGCCCGAGCCCATATTGCCCATCCCAGCCCGCTAGAGAAATTTCTGGAAGTAGGTACAAATTTTTAGGTCCATAAATCCTGGGCCTTCTTAGAATATATGGATATATGTTAAGAGTATGTGGTAAAATGGTAGATCTTGAGCTGATAAGTATGCCAACATTGGGTTCATAATCAATTAATTTTCTCATTATAGGAACCCAACATTGGGTGATGGCCAGGGATAGAGTAGGGCCCAGTACTATCCATGTGTCCAACCTTCAATGGTATGAATGTGATTCTCCATTATGGGTGACAAGATACTCTCAAAGCAAAAACTCTGCACACACTATAAAAAGAATGAGAATCCAGCCACACATTGGGAACATCTCCTAATAAATTTAACCTTAGGCTTTTGCTTTCAGGAGATCCGGGCTCCCATCAAGGTGGTGTTTTACTACATGAATATTTATGTTTTCATCATCATCATCATCTATGCCTTATTCCAACTATTTTTGGAAAGCAAGAATAAATTGGCTTCGTTTATCCGACGGTTTTTAAAATGAAAACAAGTTTGAAAGTACAATGATGTATAACAAATGATAAGATATCATTATATGAAAACATGTTTTTCAAACCAGAAACTTAATGACATGTTCTTAGTTTCAAATCCGATTGATTTTGACTTGTTTTCATTTTTCGAGACCCACAACAAGAAAAACAATTCACATTGAAGATTAATCCAAATTTAATGACAGTGCGTTGGAAATGTTGGATGGTGGAAAAAATCCTATCTCTACTATCTCATGGCCTCATCTTCTGAATATCCCACACATAGCAAATTAAGATGGGACCTAAAGACTGCAATTGTTAGTATTTTGTCTCCTGACTAAGAGAGTACTGATGTAGATCTGAGTGGTAAAAACTCTTAAGGCTCAGTTTGGAAGAAGTATACAATATAAATTGATACAAAATAATATAAAATACAAGGTTCTCTACAAATTTGTATTTGTACTCCTTCCACTGAACCATATGTTCAATTTGAGTGGTTGGTGCAATAGAAGTTCACAGGTTTGCTAGCTGGATCATTTGGAGGGGTGTTTGCCATTATGGTGTTTATCTTCCGATGCGTTTTAAATAATTAGTCATATCAGCCTCTTGGCAAACAGACAAAAGTGTGGGGTTTATTTATGCGTGTTTATGCAAAAAATGCCAATGTAACGGGAGGCTCTAGAACTTTGTGTTGGGAGAGAGGGAGGCAGCAATTGTAACAAGAAAAATCAAATTGACAAGGCTCGATCTGCTAGTAACAAACAACGAAAGGCATCTTACAATTTATTTTTTCAACTGGCCTCAGTACATATGAGTTAAAAAAAAAAAAAAAAGTATCAAAGTGTTATATACCTAGAGGGCCTCCAACTTTCACAAGGTACCCCATTGCTTTAGATAAAATTCAAGTCCAATCATTAGTATCCATCGGTTACTTGGAGCATATTTATGTCATGTGGGGGTATATTCAAATTCGATCTGATTCGAAGATTCAATCGGATTTGTAAATATGGATTTGAATTCGAATCCAATGAAAAAGTTGAATTTTTTGGATCTAATTCGATCTGATTTAAATTTCTTAAAAAATTAATAAATTATTAAAAGAAAAATAAAATGTAATAATTTCAAAAAGAAAAACAAAAAATACAATTATCTTTTCAATTATTTTCATCATATATATACATGTTTTTTATAAAAAAAATAATATAACAATTTTATAAAAATACAATATAAATAAATAAATAACATATATGTGTTATTGGATCTTCTCAGATCAGATAGGAATGATCCAAATTTGGTCCAATTTATGATCAGATCTTATTTTTTTTATCCAATCTGATCCAAAGATCCAAATAAGAGGAGATCTGAATCCGACAAAATAAGATCGGATCTAGAATCCATTTACACCCCTAAGAGGGAGGGAAGAGGAAGGAAGAGATGTAATATGGAAGTTCGAAAAACTCTCCATGATTTTCGATTTGTGCATACCTTGGGTATTGATTCTTTGAACCATATGTCCAAAAAAATGTGGTTTCTTGATTCAAATTAGAATGTTGGTTCATATCCTTAAATAATAAATAATCTCTTGTATCAAAAATAAATAAATAATCTCTAATGTGGTTTTCTAATGTAAAAATTACTCAGCACATGGAAAGGCTTTTTCATGATGTTACATTGGTTTGAGTGGTCTTAGATAAAGTGAAAAAGAAAAGAAATTCCATGGACCTTCCTAAATCAAATGAAAAACTAAGGGTTCATTTGGTTCGTAATTGGAATCAGAAGTCTTCTTGTTTCAGACAGGAACTGGAATCAGCTAGAGTGGGATTTCAAACCCAAGGGAGGAGTAGGAAATGGTCATTCCCTCATACTGATCCATTCTGATTCGAATTCCAAACCTCTATTCCCATGAACCAAATAGGCCCTAAGCCTAATAATAATATGGATCCCAAACAAAATTGGTACTACTCATAATTTGCATAATGTCTTCACTACTGTCTTGTACTCAGTACAGGGTCATTAATTAGAAATTTTACTTTTTACATAGAATGGGGTTAAGTGGGTAGGTTAGCAAACCTTACCACATTCTCAAAATAAACTCTATACTGGTGAATCTTTAATTAAAAAAATGTTTGGCCCCATTTGGTTTGAATGAATAAAGGTTTGGAATCGGAATCGGAATAGGCTATTCTGATTCCAACTGTTTGGTTGGGCGGAATCAGAATCACATTCCCATTTTTGTTGAAATAGTATTCCCCCATTTGAGGAAATGGCCATTCCCTCCCTCTCCCTTGGGAATAAAATCTCATTCTTGCTGATTCCAATTCCCGTTTTCATTCCTGTTTAAATCAAACAGATTATGGGAATGGACCATTCTGATTCTGATCTGAAGGATTTTGATTCTAATTTCGACTGTAAATCAAACAGGCCCTTAAATTTTGAATTGAATATTAGGCTAATTGCCACTATAGGGTTGGTACGAGATTAATATAGGGGTCTTCTACAACTAGAAAGGCATTTTTTGTATTCATATCAGCATAAAAGCAAAAAAATTTCATTATTGAATTGTGTTATTGTTTTGAAAAGAAAAAACAAATTAATTTTATTTCAAAAAATCAATTAATATTATCGAAAGTTCGAAACTATCAAAATGGTGATTTTTAAAACAAAAAACAAATTTTATAATACAGAAAATAATATGATTTAGGGAATATGATATTGAATAACCAGATATCAGTTTTGAAAACAAAACACATATAACCAGTTTTCAAAAGAAAGCATCTGTGTTTTTCTCTTAAAACCAATTTGTTGTCAAACCAGAACAAAAACTTGGACACAAAGCCCTTCCATTGGGTCCTCTATCTATGGGCAGTCTGGATCGGCCACTGAAATCCTCCATATGGCAGATAAGGTCAGAGAGGAAGCTTTGTAGACACATCCATCCATTTTTGTCACGTGGAAGAAACTTGTGGATAATCAAAACCGTCCATCAAATACAGGATAACAGGACTCTCAGATGAATCGCCTAGCTCATTTCCATTGCTTACATTAACTCAAAATCTCACCTTGAACTGGGGTATTGTATCATTAGTACTAGCCATACTAACATTCGCATTCGTGATTCAAAAAGATACCAATTAATTAGGACTTATATTGAAGAGTGGTAATGCATCTTAATCTTAAATTTGTTCTGCCAAAAGAAAGGAGGGTAAGACAAAAAAACAAACTGGAACTCCTTATTTTGGACGCCTTGCCTGCACAAATAAGTTGTTTTCAACCCATTGTTGACTTAGATGGTTGAACCGTTCGAATCGCCATCTGGTCATGATTCTGCGTTTGGTTCTAATAAAACTTAGAAATTGATTAAAAAAGTGTTTGAATTGCACACTAAATGTATATACAAACTTTTAGAAGTCATAATTTGCACTCTAATGTCCAATTAGGATGATTTTTTTTAGTAGCTTTTTAAGATCTATGCATCACAAGGAACCAAAGGCACCTTCCTTGCCCCTTTTTTTTTTTGCCAAAAAACCATTTTTTTGCCTCAAATTGCAATTTTTAGCATTCTTATAAATTAAAAATATAAATAATGCATATATCATGTAAAATATAATTATATATTATTTATTGATAAAATATGTGTTTCCACACACATACACACATGTATGTATGTATATAACTGTATATATACTTATAATATAGAGTGATGATGTGGCACAATCTGACCCATTCGACCCTACGATTGAACCGGTAACTTGCAATCCAGAAGCAAAAATGGTTTGTTCTCTAGGTTTTTTTTGGTCTCTGGGTTGGTTTTTAAAACATTGACACAAATAGGAGATTCCTTCAATTTAGGGGGTGTTCTACAATGTGAATTGCTGCTTTTCTTGTTGTGGGTTCAAAAAATAAATCAAAACCATTTGATTTGAAAACAACTTGTTTCTTAAAACATAAACACACAAGACATGTTCTGGGTTGTGTGTATTTTTTGTTTTTAAAACTGAAACCAAAAACATGTTATTGACTCTTGAATCTTGTTTTAAAAACATATTTCCATATGATTATTTAACATCATTATTTGTTGATTCCAAAAACATGTATTGTTTTTTAAAATAAAACCAACTTGCTTTTCCTTTTGAAAACAAAAATAAAGTTCAAGAACATATTTTTGCCTTTTTTTTGCTAATGTGGTCATACCAAAAACAAAAACATTCATGTTGTAAAACAACTCCTTAAACATGGTTCCTATGTCAAATGGTCCAATCATCCAGTCCAACACTCCAACCCGGGGTGGACAATTTTGGGGTCCAAAACCGGACCCAGACCATGACCGGTTCCTGGGTCAACCAGCTTGACCATCTGGTCCGGTCCAGTTTTCAAAACCATGCCCTTAAATAACTGAGAAATCTTCTAGGTGGCTATGTTATTAAAGCCCACGTAGCTTCTCAATAGAGCTTTATTCATGGGTAAGTAAGATCATCTTAGGTGATTTCTTTATTAAAACTTTAAGTTTAGAATATTAGCAGACCTTAATGACTGATGAGGAATCTTCTTAGGTGGCTATGTTGTTAGAGACCATGCAACTTCTCATAGGATTTTGTTAATGAATTCCAGTAAGATTATCTTAGGTGATTTCTTTAAATTAAGCTATTAAAACTTTAAGTTTAGAATATTAGCAGACCTTACAGAGCCTAAAATATGTCAAACCTTAATGACTGGTGAGGAATCTTCTTAGGTGGCTATGTTGTTAGAGACCATGTAGCTTCTCATAGGATTTTATTAATGAAGCCCAGTATCATCTTAGGTGACTTCTTTAATTATGCTATTAAAACTTTTGATTTCCCTACAGAGCCTAAAATATGTCAAACCTTAATGACTGATGAGGAATCTTCTTAAGTGGCTATGTTGTTAGAGACCACGTAACTTCTCGTAGAGCTTTATTAATGGATTCAAGTAAGATCATCTTAGGCGACTTCTCTAATTAAGCTATTAAAACGTTTGAGTTCCGAATATTAGCAGTTCCTACAGAGCCTAAAATATTTCAAACCTTTTAATGACTGATTCAGGTGGCTATGTTTGTTAGAGCCCATATATCTTCTCGTAGAGATTTATTCATGGGGTCAAGTAAAATCATCTTAGGTGATTTCTTTAATTAAGCTATTAAAACTTTTGAGTTTTGAATATTAGCAGACCCTACAGGGCCTACAGAGCCTAAAATATGTCAAACCTAATGACTGAGGAATCTTCTAGGTGGCTAGGTTAAACCCATGGCTTCTCATAGATCTTTATTTATAAGATCATCTTAGGTGATTTCTGTAATTAAGCTATAAGATCATCTTTGGCACCCCATATATAAAAGGGCAGCTTTAGAAAAAAATTTCGCTCCATCTTGAACACACATACTTCCCCTTTTTCAATGGCGGATGATAAGGTTGTTCCTCCTTGTTTTTGTTGAAGAATTCTGAACCTTAACATCAAACTATGTACTTCCAGGACGGGCCAAATAAAGCTATGTGTTAAGCTCAAGCCATTCAGTTGTAGGAGGGTTCCAATGAATGTGACATTATTGCCTTCGACTGGGCTAGCTCATTGACAATCTAGTTTTAATACTTCAGATGAAAGATTATCACGGTGGTTGGGTTTCTTCTATTAACAAGATAGACTCGATCGTATTACCTCTTTTATAAATGAGAGACCACCCCACACCCCCAAGGTTCAAAACTTTATAAGTATTAGAAATGTAGAGAGTACCACAAGGATAATTTTAATGCATATCTACAAACATGGATGCAGTGGACACATTAATATAACATGGATAGAATAGGAAAATTCAAATAAATCTCTATACATATATCAATAATACTAAGGCTCAGTTTGGAAAAAGTATAAATACAAATATGTATCATGCAAATACATACAAGATAATACAAAATATAAGATTTTGCATTCTACATATTTGTATTTGTACTCCTTTCAAACTGAGCCTAAGTTTTTGATGACTACAAATAAGGTTCAAAGTATATATATACTAAGAATTAAGAAGAAAAATTTAAGAAACATATCAGGATATAATTTAGATGTGCATGGATATCATGAAAAAAATTAGGATATGCATGGATACATGTAAGAAACTCCTATCGATCCCAAAACTATATCAATGATTCTCTATATAAATCTAGATGATTATAAGTGAGGTATATATACTTAAGCAATGCATACCTTGATAGTGTATGTAAAGTGCGAACTACAACCTCAAACAATACGTAAATGTATCAATACTTCAAACCTTGTCCAATTTGAATTAGCCAAACACTCTGTAGTGGGCCGTGAAACTAATGATAATGTCTCATACCACTGCACCAGTGGTAAAATATATAGGGCCCACAGTCTGAGGTTGAATATTTATAGGTGTGGGCTCCATGTATTTTATAACTGGTGTGGAGTGTTATCATTGATTCCACAGTCCTAACTTGGGTTGATTTAGGTTAAGAAATTGTAAAATTTTGAAGAGGCCCGAGCCAATTAAGTTTAGGGGATGCTTGACAAAATGGTTGATTTTGTTATTGAAAACAAAATCAAAAACAATATGCTTTTGCTCATGTGACAGTTGTTTTTGTTTTCGAAAACAAAACCAACATGTTTTGGAACACCTTAAATCAAACAACCGGAATTGCAACTCTAATTTTCAGCATTACTTTTGTCTCAACATAAATGTTCTTATTTCCTCTTTCCACCATATCAAGGACCATATTCACTGCTTAATTTCATTACGTAAATCTAAAGAATTTATCATTAGAGAAGATACTGGGGCAATGCTAAGCCTTAACCTTTCTGCTTAAACAGGTCGAGGTAATAAGGTGGAGAGAGACTTATAAACTAGATCCCTAGTGTCCAGAATAACCATCTCATTTAAATGGATTTTATCAGACAACTCTGCGCAAGGAGTCTCGATCCCCTGGTAACAAAATCACGCTTGGCACATCATAGTTTTATACCACCTGTCCTCAATATGCACTTGTTTACATTGTTGTTTGAAAATTCGAATATGTCAAGGACAGAAAACATCAAATTGTAATGTGCCTAGTTTTGTTTGTTTGTAGCAGATCCGGACGCCTTAGGGAGATGGTCTCAATATGATTATATGAATAGGTTGCTGTGGGGATCATCTTTTCTCGGGCAGTTGAATCTGGTGGTTACTGGAATGTCTTGATACATGTGACCATCCATTGCTCTGGTCCTCTTTAGTAGGGCTTGACAACTGTACCATCCTTTTATGCACTTTCATTGTAATAGAGGTTTCATTTTATTTACCCAAGAAGAGAGAACTGAGAAGTAAAAAAAAAAAAAAATGAAGTTTTAACATATGATCCTAGTCTAGGGACAGTAGTAATCAATAAATGCCAACATGTATCAGGAAAAAATTTCCCACCAATAGAAACATTAATTTCAATTATGATATGTGATTTTACATTTGCATTGTATGTGTATATCAGTAAGCATCTCTTGTCAGTGAATGGTACATACTAGTAAAGAATTCTGGACACTGTACAGCCTTAAACCTGATATTATGACATTAGTCTTTTATCTGTTCAGTCATTGTACAGGATGCTTCATGCAAGTTTGCCCTTTGTACAGCGTATCTGGTGGGATTTTATCCATTGCTTTTGTCTTCAGGGAGCCTGTAAAATGCCCAAACCTCAATTAATATGGAAAAATTTACTGATTGGAAGCTTCTAATGGAAGATCATAGATATTCACTTAAATTGGAAGATAGCCACTGAGATCATGAATACCAAAAGGGAAAAAGAATAAAAGGAAGACCAAGCATCAAGGTGGAAGAAAAAGAACAAGCAGAAAAGACTTTCCCCTAACATATAATAAAACACACTTGTCACAGTGCATAGTGGAAAGGACAGCAAAAAATAAACATCCCAAACACACCAGCCTCTGTCCTAACTAAGTCCAAAAAAAATGCAGCCAATGATTGCTTTAGAATACAAAGAGGTAGTAGACAGTATTCTATTTATCATCCATAAGGCAAGGATGTGCATAAGCGTTATAAGCATGATTACTCATACTTGATAAAATTCTGAAGCAGAAGTTTTATCTAGAATGACCAGCATACACATGCAAGCATGCTATAGGCATATTTATCAAGGATCCTTTCAGAATGAATTCAAGAATTTAAGTTAATAAAAAAATTTAACTTTCAAGTAGCCCATCTTTTCCAATTTGCCACATTTTCCTTATTCAACAAAGTTAGCCACAAGTGACTGTACCATGAACACAATGGCCAATCTTAGTCAAACTTTTTCCATGTGAAAAGCAGCAATGGAACATGATTGTAAGTTGCTTATTGTTTTCCATTTCTCTTTCTTTTCTTCTCTGGTTGTGTATCGAGACACTCTCCATGCAAAAAAATAAGTTACAAATTTACAACATATGCCAACCTTTTAATTATGGATGGTTATGTTTTATATTTTCTCATTGTGTGAAATTAGGTGCAAACACAAGGCATCTGATGGGATATGATAGGCATTCAATGAGGTAATAATCCCATCACTTTATTTTAACACTCAGGTTTCTATGTCAAAGCATTTAGAACATTAGAATATTTATCCAGTTACCTATCCAAAGGGTACAGGATTGCACTATATACACACACAAATTATGGCCATTTACAGAGAATGCACTAGACTACAAGTACCACAGGTAGGGATGTCAATCGGTCAGGTTCAGCACACATTTTTCTCAACCTGAAACCTGACATGACCTGTCCCACAAATGGTATCCCTATACTCAGCTAAGGCTATAATTAAAAATGTTTCAAAGCAATTTTTGTCAGCTAGCCACTACTTTATCACCTAGGTAGGTGAGTAGTTACCTAGACAGACACCATTTAACATAATTCATGGTGTTCAGGCTGGATACCCATCATGGATGCCTTGTTGTCAAGGTAATGCCTTGACATCCATGCCATGGATACAGACTGAGTTATAATGTTATATATCATTGTCAAATAAATATTCTTACCCATCCTTTCATGTATGAGAGAAGCATATTCTGTCCCACCACCTTTCCATGCAAAGGAGGTAATGCTGCGATACATTCCAAGTGAAGGTTGAATTCCTGCTTCTTCCATCCATTCCAGTACCTGCATTCACATTCTTCATGATTTCTTCCAGAAACAACCTTAAAAATGCATAACCTTAAAGTATTCAAATGCAAAAAGTTTACATTACTTGGGACATGTTAAAAAATTAATAAAAATAATAAACAGAGAGAGAGAGAGAAGGAAAGAAAAATTAGATATTTATGAGAATCCTTTTTCTATAAGCTTTGAGCTGTTCATACCATTTTTGAGAAAAGAGGTAACTAATATTCATTTTTCAAGGTGGTGCCTAGGCAAAGGCCCTCATAGAGGGTCACCTCGCTTAACCACCAAGGTTTTTTTACATGGTTCTCTGGATACTTTTATATTCTTAACTTTTTGAGATTATAATAATATAGTAGGCATTGTTAAACTAAATTATTCAGCTTAAGTTAAAATACTACTTTCATTTCATTATTTTCACATTTGTTAGGGTTCAATCAACATGTATACTTCCTTGAACCCTCAAAGACTTCACAACTTTAATTGATAAGCATGGAAGAACTCAATTTTATCCAATCAACACATATTGATTATTTTCATCATCTTCTTTCACCCTTTCTTTTCTTTTCTTCTTTTCGTAGGACAAAAATAGAGACTCAGCCCCCTCTATTTTCTGAAATTTCTTTTCTTTTTTCCTTTTTTTTCATGAATGTGTTGATTTTCTATGTTTCAAATAAAGCATAAAGAAGATTGTCTCTAGGGTCAGTAGAAGATCAAGACTGTAATCCTTGAATCCTAATAGGTTTTAGGTTTGCAAAACAGAAGAAAAGTGAGAGAAAGGAGAGAGAATAGAAGAGAAACAAGAGAACACAAGTTGTTGAAAG